CTGACAGCTGCTGGAGGGGAGCAGCAGCAACGGGCCCATCCCCCTGCCTTGTGCCAGCAGCACAGTCCTTCGCTGGGCTGGGTTCTCCTGTGGTGGGGAGAAAGCGGGAAACTGAGGCACGGGGCGGGGCAAAATCTCCCCAGAGCAGGAGAGCGGTGATGGGCCCTGTCCTGGGACACTGCTCGTCCACCCCACGCCTGCCCGGTCAGGCCCTCAGGGACCCCAGTACCCAGATGTGCCCCAGCAGCTTCTGCTGCCTGTGTGTCCCCAGAGCCGGGCGGAGGATGTGGTGACGGTCCCGACCCCGAGGAGGAGGCACAGCTCTACAACGGCTCCGGCGTCGCCGAACTTCTGCGCCCCATGGGATCCGCCCCGTGCCTCGTGAAGGTGGGGCCTGGCAGGGCCAGGGGCCTGCAGGGTGGGAGGGAGTGGTCGCCCCACGGCAGCCATCCTGACCCCCTGTTCTTACCCCCCTTTTCCAGACCAAGGACTGGTGGACGTATGAGTTCTGCTATGGGAAGCACATCCAACAGTACCACGTGGAAGGTGCTGGCGCAGCCAGGGATGGTGGTGTGGGAGGGCTGGAGAAGGGGTGGATCCCCCCTCCTCGAATGCTGTCTGTGCAACTGTTGCCTTTCACCACAGAGTCGGAGATCAAAGGAGACATCCTCTTCCTCGGCTACTACCAGTCGGCGTTTGACTGGGACGACGAGACAGCCAAGGTCTGGGCTCCCTGCTGCACCAGGGCACCACTGTCCCGTCACCCAGCCCTCTTCTGAGGCAGTGAAGAATTCCCAGGGGTCCCCATCCCCACTCTGCTCTCCTCCTTTCCCCAGGCCTCCAAGCAGCACCGGCTAAAGCGGTACCACAGCCAGAGCTACGTGAACGGCTCCCGGTGTGACCTCACCGGCCGAGCCAGGAGGGTAAGGTGCCGATGAGGGTGGCCTGGGCGCGGTGACGCCCGTGTCCCCACGGAGGCAGCAGCTGACAGCTCCCACCCCAGTTCCTCTGCGAGGAGGGGGCCGGCGACTACATTGCCCGGGTGGACGAGCCGCAGTCCTGCTCCTACGTCCTGACCGTCCACACCACCCGCATCTGCCACCACCCCTTCCTGCGCCCTCCGGCCGGCGC